GACGGAGTCCAAATATTGTTTTCACTGAAGAATCACAATAGTTTTTCTGCAATAATATCTGCAGCATCATGCAAGCATGGAACTTCTCTAATCACCGGATTAAATAAAATTCAACACATCAGACATTGATGAAAACTGCTGCTGCACATAGTGCAGTTGGTGTAAAGATATGTCTGTTTTTATGCTTTGACATTAATTTGAGTGTTTTCTCAACCATAAATTCAACACAGGCACAATGCAAGATATCGGTCTTGAATAGAGTTTAGTCTGTGGTGCAGCGACAATCCACATCAAAGGCATTGTAATGGAGAATAGTCCCCGTGAAAGCCAGTGATAGTGTGGCCTGTGACTTTACCATGTAACAACTGGGAATTCAAGTGTGCCAAAGCTACAGGAGGAAAAAGGTCAATATAGCTATCTTGGCTTAACAGAGAAAAACTCAATTCATATCAAACTTATGGTAACATCAGACACACACTGCTGCACAGCCACTGTTCTTTTCCTTTGTTTAATGGCAGGCTACACACCATTTACCTACTTGTACCAGAGTGTGCAACATCATGACTTTATGAGGCATTTCTAATCTGCATATTAGACCTGTTTCCTGCAGATAGTGAAATAAAGCCCTGTTTATCTCCAACAACCCTTTAATACTCTAGTTTTTCTTACCTGTCCTCAAAGTTTTTTATTTTCAACATTATGCTTTTTCCATCCTGCTCAACATCTGTACATTTCAGACCTCATATTTATTGGTTTCTTTCTTACTCAAAGTGTCGCATTGGGTCTTGCACATCTTTGCCTTACTGGTAAAACACACTGGAAGCGTTTTTGGAAGTGTTTTCTACACGTGTCTCATGCTACAGCAGGGGTGCCCACACTTTTTCGCCTTGTGAGCTACTTTTCAAATGACAAAGTCAAAATGATCGACCTACGCGCGCGCGCACACACACACAAAATAAATGTATGAATGAGTGTCGTAGTTTTTATGAACAGTCTGAAAGTGCCGCTCCACATTTCCCTTCGG